GTATTGAAGTGATAGTTAAGGAGCCTGTGAATCATTTGTTTCAAACTGGCATCCTTATCTACTCAGGAACTATAATTTTAAAGTATTGCGTCTAAAACTAACTATTGTGGGCTCTAAAACTAACTTGTAATATGACTTCAAAAGAGAAAATGAGGTGAACTGATGATGTATTAAAACAAACAAAAAAGTTGTCTTTTAGGAGTTGTCATTAGGGATATAATCCTCTTTTCTTGCTAAGTTCCAAACTGAGAGCATTCTTTCCTGCCTTAGGATGGTTGTTTAGAAATCTCTAACATATTTAAAAAAAAGAATCCATCCTTTCTGTAGAATTAATTTCTTAATTTCTAGGAAGAAAATTTAAGAATTATTTTCACGGTGTGCCTTCATGTACGTCCAGCAAAGTATATATCGATACTATATTGAAAGAAAAAACTTCTAAAAACACATGCATCCACTTCTTATAAAGTACCCATTTACCAGAAATGCTGGTGCTAAGTCACAGTTTAGTAAGTAACCATGATTAGGCAGAAGGGACAATTTACTGTACTGTGGGCCAGTTTCTCTGTGTTGTACTTGTGGGAGTTTCCTTCCAGAATTTCATTAACAGAATTAGTCACAAATGTGAATTTAAAAATACTTACATTACATCCTTAAATGCAAGAATGTATAAAAAATACTTCAATCTATCTGCTCATGCTTCACACGCATGTAAAGCTCTGGTGTAACAGCTGAATAGCACTGAAATCTATTCAGAGAATTAACCTGATCCTCACTTTATGTAATAGTCACATGTTTTCTGTCAGAAATAAAATCTATCCATGTCACAGTTCTAATTCCTTAGCTACCAAGTCTAGAACATCAGAAAAGGGGTGCTTTTGCTATATTATGACTTGAAAGGGAGCTGTGATGAAGATATCATATGCCAAATACAAGATAACCACTGCTGAATTATTCTTCTTGTTAGGACATTATTTGTGTAATGTCAAACTGACCTGTTAGTACAATCAGACCAAAATGAACACATATGGAATAGAGATAATTGTTCCTATCCCAGAGAGTCTGCACTATATACACTTTTTCCTTGCTGTTCATCCTTTGTCTCCTTTCTGCTCCTCTAGCCCCTTTTTAAGTGCTTGTGGGAGAAAAATTATACCCTTTGCAGATTGCTGAGATACAGATACATACACATTTATTTTCACTAGCAATCTTGAAATTCAAATCAAAGCAGATTATGGGCAAAAGGACACTGAAATCATCAGATTAGTTATGCTCCGTATGAAGAATAAAGTGGGATGTCTGGACAAGTTAATAGCAGGTCTTAGGAAAAATGCTTCCCTTCTTTTAATCACATCTTTCAATTACATATGATAAGCTCTAAATTTACTAAAATAGTTTTCTTGTAAAGGAAATTGACTGCTGGAAAACAGTTCTAACTGTAAGCAGCAAAATACGACAAAGTGAGCATTAGATTATTATCTTTACCGCATTAGCCAAAGTAAACTAAAGCATAGAAAAGTAAGGGACAAGTATAAATGCCTGTTTTATCAGTAATTGTCTCAGAGAGCTTTCTAAATGTATATGGTCAAAGTCTTATTTTTGAATAATTTAAAACTGGACTCAACACAGTATTCAGAAATAAATGAGGCTGTGAAAACATTGCTTCATTGGCTGAAGCATAGGTTAGATCTCCTTTCTAAGTTTGTCTTTTATATATCTATTATCCACTGAATTTGCTGCCTACTCAGTAGAATTATACAGGTTTTACACATTGATGACATGCTTGTGACTGCAGAGTAGGACAACTTTTCATTTAAACACATAGTTGCTTTTGAAGCAAAATTCTTTGCTTCATTTTTTTATTTTACCCTTCCCACTCTGCATATACTAAGTGCATCAGCAAGGTCTGAAATTGGGACCAACATTCATAATTCTAGCTAGTAGAATTGTGCGTGAGAGCATTTGGGTGCCTGTGAGTTCCCAAATGTTGCCCACATTATTTTTCACATGAAGCATGAGTAGCTGGGTGATTTCAGCATACCTATGACAATAACATGCATTGATTAATCCTGAGATTGCTAGTGAAAATGTAAAAATATTATTCTTTAAATTAATGAGATGGGGAAGTTAAAAGTAATTGCCTGATAGCCTTGAGTTGTATTAAAGAGATTTTTGGTTTGTTCAAGAGACTCTATATGATGTTGTTGAAGAGGAGTGTAGATACAGAACAGCAATAGAGATAGAACAAAGATATTTTGCTACACATGTTGTTACTAATTAGTGGTGAAAACCTATTTGCATTTTCATTTTATCTCCTTCTTTACCTGTCCTTACCCCTTCGCCCTGATTGTCCCTATTTTCTTAATCTGTGTGTGCTATCCTTTCTCCCCATACCTCTAACGTGCTTTGCCCTGCTTTTTCCATCTTTGCTAGATCTTAACCAGCAGGCTATCAAACGGCTTTCGGTGAACTTACTTCAGAGGCATGTATTTCAAGCAATCATAGACTATACAGTGTGGGCAGGTTTTTTATAATGTGTTCATTCTCTGCTGATGTGGAGCCAAAAATTTTATCTTGTGTGCATACCATAGAGCACTGTCCCTAGGATTAAAGAGGCTGTATATAACACTTTTGAAAGGGAAAGAATTTTCTGGGCTATCTTGGGAAAAATATTGAGTTACTAAGCCAGCACCATAGCATGAGCCTTTTGCAAATGTACGCCTTGTAGAAAAGCTAGCTTTATCTTTGCCTGTAGGACAAATTGATGTATTGTGTAAGCTAGCAGGACTTAATGCACCGCAGAAGCTTTCTCTGAAAAATGTAATTACCAAACACTACGTTTAGAATTCTTCATGTATGTTTAGTGCATGGCTTTCTGCAGGGGAAGAGTTTGCAGACCTGGCTGCATAGCTGGCAAACATATGTAGTTATGGAAAGAAGAAATGCAGTCCTTTTAACACTTGGATTTAGCCTGAATTCATCTATTAATGACAGACCACTGAAAAACTGATATGATGAATGGTTGGTACAGGTAATACTATGTACCTGTAGTTCGCATCGATTGGGCACACACAGATTTTATCAGCCATCCCTACAAACTACAGTTGTTGAGGCTGTAACATTGTGTCTCATACTTCTTTCCCCTCTGACACTCTTAAGTGTAAAGGAGATACATTAGATTATTCCCTGAAATCAGGTATGTCCATTCATGTAGAAGACAAATTAAAAATCTTATAACGTCCCGTTTCTGTGTCCTGTTATTTACATGCAGCCTTAATAACTTTTATTGTGTAGAGGATTTGCTACTAATAATCACAAATAAGAATAGTCTTCCCTATAAATGTCTTTATAGTCTTGCATTTATACTTTTCTGCAGAGTGTAAAGCTGGTGATCTCATGTTCTAATCTATGACAACTGAAGTAATATTCTAACGTGCATTTCCAGGAACATGTTGAAGGAGAAAACTGTGATCGTTGCAAACCAGGTTTTTTCAATCTGCAGCAAAATAATCCCAAAGGCTGTGAGGAATGTTTCTGCTCTGGGAAAACTAACGTCTGCACACACTCTCACCTTACCTACAGAAGTGTAAGAAAGATCACACTGTATCCATACATGTCATTGGTTTTGTGTTACTGTGTGTCGTCACTGTCCATTGTCACCAGAGTTCATCTTACTGTAAAATCATGCATGTTCTTTTATGGCCCATGTATCTTTCATTTATCCTAAAGAAAACACTTATAAGCTTCGTTTCTCTTCATTGTGAGAAAGCTCTGAAACAGTGCGGTTAAACAATGAAAAGTGTAAAAGAAGTTATAACAGTCAAAAATGAAGCCATGCGCATAAACACAGTCCTGGAACGTGTATACATAATCAATCCTGGGTTACATGCAACATATCCATAGGGAAACCTCTTTTCCAGGTCGCTGTTAAATTTCTAGACTTGATAATTCTAGACTTGATAATTAAGATTAGACTTAATAATTAAGAATTTTGAAACGTTAAATGTACAACACAGTTTATGTAAGAAAAAGATATCCCCTACAGGGGCATTCTGAGTGAATTTCTTTTGCATACTGCATTCCTAGGAAAGGATGTGAAAGGGAGATGAATCTCCGGTTCTTATTTGTGCTGTAGAAAAATGTCTTTAGCTTGAAAATATACTCTAAACTTTAAATTAGTTCTCAAAGCTCAGGCACTGATTCTACTGTAACGGATGTATGCTACATATTCATGTCTGTAGATCGAGTTTGGGAAATGTGTTCCAGGTCTACTAGCTCTTGGTTTTGGCTGTATTTGCATGCTGGAAGTCTGAGAATAAAATCATATATGCCTAGTGTGCTCATTTACATGCCAGAATCTAGAAAATTTTCCATCCCACAGCTGAGCTATTTTATTGTTCCGCTTGTATGCAGGCTCCAGAAGCCATCCTTGTATGAACAGTGTGCTCTTCTCTGATGATTCATTTCTAGTTATAGGATTTCAAAAAGTCAAGTTCTGGTGCTTCACAGCTTTGCTTTGGCTTTCTAAAAAAGTATATTTGAACTTGTAAGTTGTAAAGCTTTAGAATTACAAATTATTTTAAATTATGCTGTCTATAACATCAGAAAATGTATATCCATTTGTCAGCTCATCTTCTGTACGCTCTGTGACTGATATTATTTATTGAAAACTTGTGTAATATTTGGAGATATTCTTGCACATATGTTTGTATGACAGAATTTCCTCCTCACTCTGGACCATATGAAGCAGAGAAAGCAAATACTTGCAGTTACTTCAAACTACTCAGAAGTTATACCTCCCTGTCACATACGATAAGAGAAATTTTTGCTGTTATTACTTCATTGTTTCCTTTGCTCCTAAATGTATATTAATCATATAAACCTAATTAGTTTTTTAAAAATGGAAGACTGAGAGGCTGTGACTATTGAAATGACTGATGTCCTGATTCTCACTGTAATGTGTTTTGATTTGCCTTTTTTGGTGGTTTTTTTTGTCATTATAGGTAGAAGATATGAATGGCTGGTATCTGACTGACTTACCGGGCATCATCAGAGTTACCCCCAAGCAAAAGAGATTTGATGGACATCAGCAGTTTAGCATCAGCAATGTGGCTGCACAAAAAGTACTGCCACAGACCTATTATTGGAGTGCACCCAGTTCTTACTTGGGCAACAAAGTAAGTGCAGACAGTACTTGCCTAAACGCTAATTTGATTTATTGAGAAAAGAAGTAAGGCTTTGAAGGGGGCTGGAACTGAGAGAAGATTAAGTTGGATAGCTACTTGACCAGCAAAATTGCAACCAGAGAGGAATCAGGTGTATGGAGTATCCTTGTGAGGCAAAGAGTTAAGTAGGGAAAATTAACAAAGTGTCTTTGACCTTGAGCCCTCTTCAGGCTTCTGCTGTCAGATATTAGACAAGTCTATATAGTTTGCAGCATTGTTTTTTGAATGAATTAGCTGATGTGTGGTTCAGCTTGTCCTGTTCTTTTCCCACCTTGTCCTTAGCTTTGAAAACCAGTTCCCTCCTCTGCTTTTCAGAGATGCAAGTTGTGTATCAGATGTTGTGCGGGTGTGTTACAAAACTTTGATGCTTGGCAAGAAACTTGTATGTGGGGAGCTCTCTGCCCTAGAACTCAGAAAATGCTGTTGTGAGCTCTGTGCCAATTCCAATGCATATATTTATCCAACTTTGCGTTTGTCCATGTGTGCATGTACACACATATTCACGCCCTGCAGGTTAATGCCAAATATTTGCTTTCTAAAGTCCTGGATGATTTAGTAGTCTGACTATCAGGCTTCTCACCATTAGACTTTCTGCTATCATACATGATACCTTCATGAAAATCTCATTTTTTTTCCAGAGAGTAGAACTGAGGACTGTGTCCTTAATATGAAGAAATCTTTCCATTTACCATAACCCTGATTATGCTAAAACTTATCTGAAATGCTAACACCAATACACTTGAGGACATTTTCCTCTGTAGTCTTTTCAGCCTAGTCAACCTCTTATTTATTTTCTTCCTACTGGCTGAAAATCAACATGACAGAAGGTAAGTGAGCATGTGGAAGCTAAGTAGCATCATTCTGAAGAACTGGACGTCCTGTTCACGGCTATAAATTGTTAGTCAGGCTCATTTAGCTGGGCAAGGGAGAGTTTCTTCTATGATCTTCCATGTCTTGTGAGCTTACCCTGAGAAATGAACTGATACTTTTCCAGACAGAACTTCATCCTGCTTCTATTCAGTGAGGAAAAAATGGTAAGAATGTGCACAAATTATTTGAATGTGTAAGATATTTTTTCAGTGTAATTTGGAGGTCCTTTGTGGTTACTGTCAGACATCTCTGTATGAATGAAGCAATTTGCCTTAATAACTGAACCATATAAATTTTTGATACTACAATAACACTGAAAGCACTCACAAATTACCACAGTACATCTTAACTGTCATGTTGCATCACGTAAATTATAGTCATAATGACATGCTTAGGCCATATGATTTATGCTATGGAAAGGGAAATGGAAATATAATATTGAGAGTCCTTATTTGTAAACTCAATAAAACATTTCTCTAAATAGCTGAAACTGGATAAAACCAAATAGCTGTAACTAGATAAAAACATCCTCTCTTGACAGTGGTTGCTAGCTGTGTTACAGTAGAATAATTGGTATCTCAGAGCAGGCAAGCTTCTTCAAGAATTTTTTTCTTAGGAAATGTAGAGAATGATTTAAGAGATCTTATATCAAGAGGTAAACCTTGTCTCACAAAAAACTGCCTTTCCTTTTTATTGTTAAAATTATTGCTCTTAAATACTATTCCCCAAAATAAAATTGAGTAACAAAAGGTAGTAACCATCCTGCATTTCCCAGTTTTCAAATATAGCTCAAAAACCTTATTTAAAATAATTATTTTAATATAAAGTTGGCATGTTGTGCATATGCCTCCACAATGTTGATTGCCATATGTGTGCTATCTGCGTGTTTTACATCCATCTCCAAATGCTTCTTTTGAATGAAAAAAACGTTATAAATAGGATGGTCCTGTGTGTGCAGCCTTCAGCTTTTCCTTTTTTGTCTAGGGTGACTCTAGGCTATGTAATACTGGTCTTTGACTGTGTCTGTAAGGAGACATTATAAATAACAAGACGCTATAGGTGGTACAGGATTCTTGTTTATGTCAGAGTAGGACAAGAACATGAGCAAATTAGTTTAACGTCACCATATCCTTTTAGTCTTCTAAATATATATGCTGCTACCAAAACTTAAACGTTGTTGTACAAATATAGATAATTTTTTTAAAAACCAAGATATTTTACCTGTCTGACCATATAATACAAATTTGAACTGAAAAATTGAACACTGTTTTTGATGCAAAATGTATTTGTTTTGCATCTGGAGGATGCAAAACTGGAGGAATTATTTTTCTGTAAGCTGGAGGAATTAAATTTCTGGGAATAAAATATCTAGTGGATAATTTGTGAGAACAGATTTAAAATGGCTAGTCTTAAGGGTTTAGTAGGCATCATAAAGCAGTTTTTCTTCTTGCCTGTCAACTTTATCCTGAAAACTGAATTTCCCTGTTTGCCTGTCTACTTCTAGCTGCTGAACTAAGGATTGCAGCAATCATGAGGACTTGTGGTCTGTTAGGGCTTCTAGTTACCGAAAAATTATCTTACTCTATCAACTCGAATTACATTTTAGGTATTGGAAAACCCCATTTGTTTTTTGTTAGCAGAGTCTTATATTGTTTTGACAATGGATCTTGAGTTTATTTTAAACTTGTGTCCATGCTAAAATATTTTATAAATTTGTCTGAAAGGGTTGTGAGTTACATTTTGTTAATGTTTGATCAGAGCACTTCTTGTGGTTTAGCCCCACTGGCAACTAAGCGCCACGAAGCCGCTTGCTCACCTCCCCCCAGGTGGGATGGGGGAAAGAATCAGGAAAAAAACCTCATGAGTTGAGGTAAAAACACTTTAATAGGACAGCAAAAGAGGAAGGGGATGCACAATGCAGCTCACTAAAAAAATTGCACAAAGTTCCTCACTACTTGGTGATCGATAGCCTGTCCCTGAGCAGCGATTCCCACGCCCCGGACAACTCCAGTTTATGTACTGAGCATGGCATTACATGGTAGGGAGTATCTCTTTGGCCAGTCTGGGTCAGGTCTCCCGGCTGTGCTCCCTCCCAACTTCTTTTGCACCTCCCCACTGGCAGAGCAGGTGAAGCTGAAATGTCCTCGACTTAGTATAAGCACTACAACTACTTAGCAACAACCAAAACCATCAGTGTTATCAACATTATTCTCATACCAAATCCAAACCACAGCACTATAGCAGCTATCAGGAACTAAAACCAACTCTATCCCAGCCGAAACCAGGACAGCACTGAGAGGAAAGTATAAAATTAATTAAAAATTACATACAAAACTCAGATGGAGGACATGAAACACTTGTTTCTTTAAAGTCAATATGGAAGGGTTAGGTGTCTGCAATGTTTTAGAAGTCTGACATTATGTATATACTCTCCCTCTTTTCCTTTGACACCACAGCAAAAAGCAATTTGATAATTTTTATGCTGAGTAGAAGCAATTTATGATTAGCCAAAAGAAAGCATAATATGGAGCATATCTAAATAAACATATCCCTCCCCCCCCACTAGACACACACACATGAGGGGCAGGTGAGGCCACTTGAAATTCCATGAGGAAACATTCATCTTTGGTTAGAGAAAGTCGCTCTGCCTTATTTTCTCTCTGCTGCTGCAAATACTATGTTCCTTTCTCTTCTAAGGGTCAGCTTTAACCATGAAGGTGGACATTTACCCTTCCTCTTTCAGGTGGTTAGGGCACTGCCCTTGGCCAGCAGTCACAGGTTAGTTCAGCCTTTAAGTGGAGGCCGTCCTAGAATCCACGTCTCTGAATATTGCCTCAACACCCAGCAGTCCTACAGAAATTAGATAATACATTAATGCATGCATTAATGCTGACATTACTCAGACTGCAAACAACGTGACATAAGCCCTAAAACAGCTCTATTCTAAAACACTATTTGCTTACTCGCAGATTTCACTCAGATTTAGAAGTTTGTCTCAAATGTTGCTTTACAGGAGTCATTTGAACGAGTTGTACAGCATGATCCCATTCAGTGTAAGTAAAGTAATATAATTTGGTCCTTTATGAAGTCGGAGTATGTTGAAAATTAGAGGAAAAGATGCTTGAATAAAAGGCTTTGTTACCTCTTGGAAAAATTCTAGCACATCGTATTTGTCAACTCCATAGACTAAAGCAGCTCTGTGGTGGATACATTGTTCTTTCTCTGACCTCTAGTGAAAACCAAGGCAACAGCTGAAAGTTTTGTGTACAGTCTGTGCATACAGAAAAGGAAGGAGACTCGTTTGACTTAACACTGTCACTTCATTTATTTTCTCTTTTATTATATAATTAGCTGTGTAACCTATTTGCTGACTTACAGAAGTCAGTGTTTCTTTGAGTCCAGAAATGAAGACAGTGGAATAAGCCTGTAGACAATACATACAAACTTTAAAAATCTATCATCCCTTTAAAAGTACTCTACTGTGGAAAGCTAAAGATTGGGATGGACTGAGCAGTTTGTTTTGTGACATAATATCTATTGCAGACTGCCCAGAATACCTCATAGGATTAAATATTGAATTATAAAATAATCATAAGCTAGGTCCTTGTGGCTTTTATGTTTATTTCCTTCCATTTGTTTTCATTTCTTAGCCAATTCTGATGCAAAAGGCAGAATAATGCAAAGCAAATTGCAGTCTACAGCTCCCAGGGGAGGGCATCGAAACCCAAAACATAAAGAAGCGTAAGGAATAAAATAATCAGCTGTAACAGAAATGCCAGGATCAATTGTCCTAAATTATTTATGCATCTAAACCCAGAAAGCTTCATCTAGCATTGTCATGGTTTCAGATCTCAAGACTTTCTTGTCATAGAACATGATAGTTAGATAGATCCACAACTCCTTTTCTTGTTTTTACTGTCTGCCTCCAAAAGAAGAAAAATCTAACTTAAGACCTTTTTGTATAAATGAATGAAATGCAAACTAAATTGTTGTTGGAAGCTACTTTTTTCTACCATCAGGTTGGTGTTTTTTTTAATTCATTGTCCTCATGAAAAGCAGTGAGTGACCTAGCCTACATAATT